TTAGGGTGGAGGCCATCGCTATTAGGGTGGAGCCATCGTTGTTAGGGTGGAGGCCATTGCTATTAGTGTGGAGCCATCGTTATTAGGGTGGAGGCCATCGCTACTAGTAACAAGAAGCAATCTCTTCGCCCAAGGGACGACTGCTTGGTGCGGGCCATGGCGGTCGAAGAGACGCGTCGCTTGGAGCCAAATCGCTTCTCTGGAATTGACGCAGACATCGAAGGTGCTTTTTATGTCACATGTCAATATGTCAATTAATCATCCATATATGTCATATACGTTCGATGTCTTTCCATTCTTGTTTGAAAGGCACAAGGCTTGGCACATATATTGGCTTGAGGCTTGAACCTTCTCGAAGAAAAAGAAAGCTGACCTCTTCACCTAGCCACCACTGCGAGTTTGAGCTCGCTCGCAAACTGAGCGTTATCTCTGCAGCATTTGAAACACCCAGCAGTTTCATGTTGTTTCACTGTCATCTCAACTGATTGCCTCTGTGCGAACAACACTTGTCATGCTTCAAAGTTTGCAAAAGTTGCCACCAACTGCCCAAACCCTCCAATGCATGTGCAATTTGATTTGACTCTACTCTGGTGGTGTATACTCATTTTGCCCATTGTGAGGGAAGAGAGTCCATCTCGATTCATCCAGCACTTTGAAGAAGCGTGAGTTGAATCTTGGTTTCCGGCTTTTTAGGGAAGAAAAACATCCATTTTTAAGCGGAGAAGGCACTGGTGGAACTCAATAAAGTAGCAGAAAGATTGTACAAAACAATTTCATTGCAGCCGCCTTGACAGCCTGCTCTTTGCTTGAGGTGTCCGAAACTCCGCTCGCGACGCCCGCGACCCGAGGCCGTGGAATAAACAGCACGACCTTCCGCCCCCATTCCCCATCCTTCCAATTAAGAAGTTGTGGACGAAGGAAACAATCCTTCCGTACTTGTGTCGCGGTCTCTACACCGGTCTCAGACTCAAACCCGAGGGAAGCCACACAAAACACACAAAAGGAAAAAAAGAAAAACGGCCGATTCGGTGGAAGAACTTCATGAGTTGTGGAAACATATCTCAGGTTGCAACCTGGTTTTCTCCGCCAGAATGACTGACTTGCTCTCGATTGAAAATTACCTCTTCTATTTTCCTCGTGGCCTGGTTACTGTCAGGAAGGCTTCAGCCACTGCATCGTCATGGTCTTTGGCCTCAAACTTGGAACGGATAGCCGGGCACCCCTTTCATCATGGGCAGCTCCGGGACATTTGGGAATCCATCGGCAATGGGCTTCAGAGGACACGTAGTTAGGGTATACGGTATACGTTCCCCTTCATTCGCTCCCCGCGAGCGAACGTCGAGCCGATGTAAGGCGAAGATGCCAGATTGAATCTAACCTAATAGCGACAGCCTCCAACCTATTAGCGATGGCCTCCAACCTAATATCTTAGATACATGTTTGAGACATTGGTTCCCCCCTTTCGCTCGGCGACCTTGGTTCCCCCGCTCTCCGCTGAGTTTCTCAGCACGCTTCCATGCTCCCAAGGGAAGCGATTGCTTCGCTTGCTACATCGTTTGGACAACGTGTTGCGTCTCATGAAAGGCTTGACACGCGAACGATGTCCGCCACCTGGCTAGCTGGAAAATCCTCAGCGACCAGAAGGTCGCCGATAGAGGCTGCCCCACTCGGAGACGTTCCGTGGCTTGGCCCTGTTTTTGCTTTCGGATTTGAGCCCAAACAGCTCCGTTCTGCGCGGGCGTTCGGCCACGGCGCAAGAACGGGCGCCGCCCAGTTCGGTTTCTTCGGATCTCCTCTCCACCGGAGACGAGCACATCTGAACCTGCCAACGTCGTTCGCCATTCGAAAGTGGTTCAGAATCGAGACATGTATCGGCGGCCTTGGGATGGTCAAGTACTTCTCACACTGCCACGATCCAAGATATAGCTTATAGGAAGAGGGCCAAGGCCCAGGCCTTCAAAGAGTACGAGGCTGTTAACCTCACCTCAGTTCGTGTTTCACAGATCACGAGACTGTCCAGCTGCCGCATATTCAACTCTCAACTGCACATGTCAGGCCCTTACATGCCCCTTAGGCCTTTGGAAAAATGCCAGTCTGTGTTCTCTGCCAAGGCACTGGTATGACCATAAAGCGTCTTGGTGGACGAGAAGGTCTCAAGACTCCAGATCTTGATCGTCTTGTCCTGACAAATCTTCCGGACCTCTCCCACTCCTCCCACTCCTCCCACTCCCACTCCCCACTCCTACTCCCCACTCCCCACTCGTCCTGAGATCCGGAGCACAGAAGCTTCCGGGACAATGTGGCCTCGGTGTGAACGAAGCTGAGGCTCCCAAGGTCACCACCGACCGACCATCTCGACGCATCGGACGCCACTCAGACATCTTGGGCTCTGGCCGCCATGCACTTGACGAAGCCCCGATGTCCAGGCAGAGTGCCGATGTACTCAGCGGGACCGGTTTGTGAGATGTGTGGCGAACCGGAGTCTTGGGTTTCGGGTTGAGGGTGCGGAGTGAGGTGGGCCTGATGCGTTCCATGAAAAGTCGTGTTTGGGGGGGCAAAACGGTTTCAAAGCTTGGAGAAGGTGGTTTGATTGGGCTCGAAGTAAAAAGAGGTGCGAAGCTACACTGTGTAGGAAGGGTGTACCACTGTTTCTTCGCATGGAAGGAATCCAAAATACAGACTCTCCACGGGTTGCAGTACTGAAGCGTAGCTTGGCTAGCACTTCAACTCAGCCCTTGATGGTATAGCAGTTTAGCACAATCCAAGAGCTGCCTGCAAATTGTTCAGATCCCAAATCATGATGTTGCAATCCTGGAGAATCAAGCAGTTCAAGAAAGCTGTTCACAGGTGAGTTGCAGCAACGGTCTGTCCTGAGATCCTGTGAAGAGCACGTCCCCAACCGTACAAAGACACTGAACAAAGCCGTTGTGGCCCGCGAGGATATGGACACAGTGCCTCAGGGTCTGCGGAGGAATGTGGCCTGGAGGAACAGCTCTTGAGATCGCAGATCAGCAATCCATGTAATTCATCAACCAGAAATATCCATTCCTTTGGGAAAAAAACATGTAACAAGCATCCTTGTTTCCTATATAAAAGGAAAAAAGAAAGAAAGAAAGAAAGAAAGAAAAAGACTTAGAACTTCCACAAAAAGGATTCCAACCTTTTCCATCCTTTTCCTACCGGCATTGCCCTCCTTTTCCCGGGTGCCCCGGACTCTTCGGGCGCCGAGGCCTTCGCCGGCTGCGCCTGCAGATCACCTCGGGTGATGGTCGAGGTCGGTCCGGGCTGGCGGTGCGAAGGTCGGCTGGCGGTCCGGGCTGGCGGTGGAGGGGGCGGTCCTGGGACGAGACTGGAGATTTGCACAGAGACAGAAGGTCAAAATGATCAGACCTGTCAAGATGATTCAGTAGTTGGAAGTTTTTCATCATTCCTTCAAGACAGCTGAAAAAAAGTAAAAGAAAGGTGGTGCAGACTCCAAACGCTGAGGAATTGAGGAACCAAAAAAGAACGTCATCCGCAGTCTTTAATGATGCTATAGAGGTCGTCGGCCGCACCGGCGAGTTGCATCGTCCTGTCTAGACCGTCTCATCGGCATGCCGTGGCCGACGCAGCGTCCGAACTCTCAATAAACCGCTGCAGGTCTCAGTTTTTTGTTGGCATATAATATATATATATATATGTAACAGTTCTTTTTTTGTTAGCTTGTTCAGTTTCTCACAAATTCAAAACGATTCCGAAGCACCTGAATTGCTGGCCGGCGCCGCCTGCAAAGCCAAACAGATGGAACATAGTTATTATAAATAGATATCAATGATTCCATCTCCAAAGATTGGGCGCATCCACTCTGCCTCCTTCTCGCGATTGGCCTCGGACCGGTCCCGTCCCGTGCGTGGAATCACCGGACCTGGGGAGCGGAGCGACGGAGCGGAGGTTCGAGTCACTGTACCGGAGCACTGTACCGGAGCGAAGGGAGACATGCATCATGCCATCTGACATTATGAAGACAGAGTCACTGTATGAACTGCACTTAAACCAACAAGAACCAGCACTGTGATCCAAATGTTGAGATTAACCAGCACTGTGGTTCGAAGAAGCCATGCTCCAACTAATATATGGGAATACTCCACCGTTTGGGGTGGATCACATCAACTCAACATCTGTGAACTGCCCCTACTTTTTTGCGACATCCCCATGCTGAGGGTCTTCGTTTTTTCACGGCCTGGCTGTGTCTGGTTGGGTCGCTTGGGATAGCCTGGATAGCCGGGCGGAGACATTCTCGGACTCCGCTTCGATCCAGTTGAAATATTGACACACGTTGGGGTGGTTCAAAAATGTTCCAAGAAAAGGGATTAAAAGGTCGTTGAATGTATAGGTCAATCTGCCAGTCCCCAGACGGGTCATGTCAGGGATGCCACATTTCTCACACTTCCATCGGCCTGCACTGGCACTGCCACGAGCACCGGCGGTGGCACCGGTGGTCCTGGCAAGCCGACCAGTGAGGTGAGCCACACCGTTGGTGGCGACTTTTGTCACAAATCCTCGCTGGAGCAGAGGTAGAGGCCTCATGTGACCAAGCAAGGAACGAAGCAAGGTTTGGGAAAGAAAATGGAACGAGATTCGGAAAAATGCATCATAATAGGATCTGATTATAAGATAGATTAAGTTTGTATCAAGCTTAGCACGGTCATGACCGTGTCCTTCGTTTCAGTTCCTTTCAGAGCTCAGGAAGTGGCTGGGACACGCCGACTGGTCAGGACATCCCTTCTGGGGCCTAACCGACGGGCGAAGCCGACGCGTCAAGAGACGAAACACGCCCAGCTGGATGGATTCCCGATGCCAAGAGACCATGCACCGACAAAAGAATGAATCCAACATCAATTCAAATGATGAATCCAAAATGAATCCAAGTCCAAAACGACATGTGTTGAGATTGTTGAAAAAATACTCTGCACACTCATATCACCGAGGAGCTCTCGTTCCGCGGGGAGGCGTTCCGCTCCGATCGGTCGTGCCTGGAGAGGAACACGGCGCCACACGCAGGAACGTTCCAAAACCGGTCCGGCTGGTCCAACAAATCCAAAACGATCCGATTCGGATCGTGTGATCCCCAAGCAAGTCTACAGCTGCTGGTGTAAGAACATCCAAAGCCACGAAACCTGCTTCCACAACCCACGAAACACCCCGCCACACACCTGCTGCCGTTCTTCAAGCCCAACGGCACCACCTCAGCACCGGAACCGCGGGTTCCCCGGTTCACGCGCGCGGGTTCACCCCGGAGAAGACATCTGGGTCGGCGGCTCGGAGCTTGGTGTCGTTGGGAATCGTGGGCGAGATCACCTCGGTCGAGACGTTCGACAAGCGCGAGGAAGCGCGAGGAAGCGCGCGGAAAGGTGGGTGTTCGGGCTTGGAAAAGGGCCGTGGACCGCGGCGTAGGGGCGCTTGTTTGGGTGGGAGGTGTGGAGAGGCATAAAGCCCAGGGGTGGCGTAGGGGGCGAGACGGAGGAGGAAAGCATGGGAAAGCCCGCAAACGGGTGGCTGGCTTCGGCCATCGACCATAGCAGACTCTGCTCTTTGAAGATGTTTCGCGGGGTGTTGTTCTTGTCGTCTCGCTACCTACGGAAAACCATCTCGAAACTCCTATCTACAGCTATCCTATAACAATGGGTGGGTCCTTGTATATAAACCCCCCTACTTACTGACCCCATCCTATAACCTCATTCGACCGCGACCTCATTCGACCGAAGAACGACGTCTCCACGGCTCCGGACCACCGTGGTGTCCCCCTCCTGCAGCTCCACGGAGCAGCTCACCGGAAGGCCGCAGGCCTCGTGGTTCCCCCGCGGACTTCAGCAAGGTCGGGAGGATGGGACCGAATGGGACCGAAGACCACCACGAGGGGACAAGGGGTTTGGATCATGTTGGATCCTTTTTTCAGGGGAGATTTCCCCTGATCCCAAGTCGAGGCTTTGATCTAAAGCTCAAAGCCTGCTTTCTTTTGCGATCCTTTAAGATATGGGGCCGGTGGTGCTGGTGGTTTCTGGGGTGGAGGCATGCACACAAACGCTCAGGGATTGGGGCGTCCTAGCAACAAAATGCAAACAACATCTCATCTTCGAACTCATCGTGAAGAATGATCAAATTTCTCGCATTTGATCTGTCTCCAGCCCAAAAAGTCACCCTCACGCATGTCTTTCACGATCAACAAACAAAACGCAAACCACGGTGGCCTTCACCACGGTGCTCTCGATCTGCTCTGGCGTGGCGCCCGGATACCAGACCACCGGCCTGGCCACGGCTCGCTTCGCTGCAAAGCCCGCACCGCTCGCAGCGATGCTGCAGACAGCTCAAAAAGATCAAGAAGAGGACAGAAGCACATACCTCAAGAACCTGTCCACCATCTTCCCACTCTAAATGGACCGTGCTTGACGGCTTCACCCACTGGTTTGAATCTATACAGCATATCACTATAACTGACTATACTATACTGTACTATACTATACTGAATATACTATATATACTATACTGACTATATCTATACTTTACCGTATATTAATGTTTAGTATCACTGAGATTTGACCCTGCCTCGTCCGGCCCTCATAGGTCACGAAGATCCGCCGCCGTGGCACGGAGACCTTTAAGAATGCACCTCGGACCAGTGACTCGTAGAGGAAAGACCCGAACGCGCTCTCAAGCGCTCGTGGGACTCGTGGGCCGGGCCATCAAAAAGCTGCTCCACCATCTCAACCTGACGAAATCAAGGCTGGAGGCGGCTGGAAGCGGCTGCTAGAAAAAGATCAGCCTGGTAGAAGACTCAACCAATTGTGGAACTAGCGACACAGCAACACAGCCTGGCTGCATTTGCCGTTCTGCTGCAGATGCAAGTGTTGGTCATCGAGCACCTGCCGAAAACCATTGATGTGGGAGAATGACTCGACGCTCCAAACATGTCGATCTGAACAGATCCAAATGGGGGAAGTTCTAGAACACCCCCTCGCAAACCGAGTGCATTTTACAAACCACATCCACATCCTCTTCCCAACAATTTTTAACGCGCCCCGTCCCAAAACAAATTGGCACCAAGAAAAAAGCAAAAACCGTCCACTCTGCTTCCGGCCCTCCACCTCCACCTGCCCCTCCTTGCGGCCCGTCGCCAGGCCTCCAAGGCGGCACGCAGCTCGGCCACCGACGAGAGGTGCCGCACCTCTCGTAGCACCTCTCGACCGTGAAGTGCAGAACAGGGTGAGGTGTTCGTGTGAATTGGGAGACCTAAGGTGACCTAACCCCTAACCAATGGGTAGACGGGTGCTTCCAGGTCATTGCCTGGTCTCCCTAGTTTACACATCTTTGACCTCATGGACCAGTTTGGCTGGCTAGACCATATGACTGAAGTGCCAAAGAGGTTGAAGTGCCACAAATTCATGGAGCTCCCCTCTGTTCCAGGGTTTCCGTGGAGGTCCGAAGCCTCCGTTTCCGTTCGTGTGACGAAGCGGCCCTTCTGTCGCGAGGACAGATGTCTTCCTCGCGCGCACCACCCGAAGGAGTGGAAGCAATTCTTGGAGAAAAAAAGGAAGACATCTGTCTCAACTCAACTGGGAACTTCGAGCAGCTGGCGGACCAGCTAATGCGGAGGGAAAGCCAGCACCGAAACTCCAATTTCGCCTTGTGTTTGCTCCTTCGTAAACAATGAATATGCAATATGAATGAACAAGAACACTACGACCTGCAAGCGCACGAATTCACGGTATAGATGTCATGAAGGGTACTACTTGCATGAGACCTCCACGAACTGATCACGCGCGCGCGTTTTTGTTGGATCACAACATGCAGGCGAGGCAGGTTCGTGGTTGGGATACTGCACAAAGAGCGTGAGGCCTTGGAACGCGCTCGTTGAGAGTTGTACGAACGAAACAAAAGCGATTCAGAAACGCATCTCCGTATGCTGGAATTCCTTGTACACTACCCACCATGGTGGATCAATGTCTTTGTTTCAAATACCCACAGCTCTTCAGAAGCTAAGCGGCTCTTCTTTTCAACTGAGCTAAGCTAGCGGCTGGTCATGGGCAATCCTAAGCCCTCTCGGGTCGCTGGTTGATAAGTGAAGGTTGATAAGTGTGATGTGGTTGAGTCAGCTGTTCGATACCATCTAGACAGGTTGATCAGTGGGCCATTGGTGAGGAACGACTGCTTCACAAACAACAAACTAATTGCTTCCAAACCAAAGTCTTCTAACTTCTAAGTATTTTTAATCATTGAGGGCTAACCTGCAGCCCTTGGGGATTCGGCCCGAGCTCTTGATGCATCTCCTGAATCTGCGGGCGAGGGTGTTTTTCCTTGAACATGTCGGCCCGTTCGGAAGGGCGATGGACATCTAAGGACTGAACAGGACCGCGCACCAGGACCCGCCGGTCCTTCCTTTTTCGACCGCGACCGTCCGAAGCCAGTGACGCGTCAGCGTCGAAGCCGGCACCGTCTGAAGCACCGGTGAAGCACCGTGGAGACGGTGCTAGTGCTGCTCAAGTTGGCAACGTTGGGAAAAGTAGGCCCAGTCTGCTTCTGGCTGGAGTCCTTTTGCTGATTGCGCCTTGTTGGACAAGGCACGTTCACGGTGATATGCTGCTTCAAGAGTCAGAGGCAAGCAAATAGGCTTGTGAATAAAGAGGCTTCCATCATCGACCCATGGCAAATACTTGCAGCTAAACCAATGATGGGAAGCTCCATCCCGAATCCTTATGGCCTCCTCGGAGATTCGATTTGCTTTTCCACCAAAATGTATACCCAAGACGCTTGTGGGGTGCATCGCCAAGTCCAGCTGGTAAGTAAATAGAAACGGTGGCATGCAAAAGAACCTCAGCTGGCACAAGAGTGCAATTCCGACGAGCAACACAAACTATTAGCTAAAATGTGTGGATGTGCCGAAAGTAGAAGAAAAAGTGTCAAAGAAAACAAAGTTAAAAATGAACTGCCCTGGAGCACGCAATGTTCAAGGGCAAAAAGGCATTGTCCCAATGCAGTTGGATGCCTCGCCATCGCATAGACATACTGCGTGCAAGTGACACGATTCCTACCTCACACGGACTGGCTGTTGCAAATTACACCCCTGGAAGAGCATGCACATAATCCAAAGTCTTGGTGACGAAAACTTGCATGCTGATTCACTGGGCACAGTCCCAAATTCCAAGAGCTGTTCCCTATCAATTTTCCCCGCGCAGTTCGTCCTTGACAACCAAATGAAATGTGGAGTTTGCGTTTGAATTTGCAGCATAGCATCAAAGCTGTAGTACATACCAATCCAGCACAATCTTTCCCGGGTGGTAGCAATGCGCATTGCTAGTTCCATTTCACGGACTTTCTTCGCTTGCTTGATGTCCGCCTAAAGAATGCTGCAAGCACATCAGCCTAGACCAAATCCACACGTTCGTGAAAAAGCCAGAAGCGGTCAACACTTTCGTTCCACGGAAACCAGAGCAATCTGGCAACAAAGCAATCTCGCATAGCTATATAGGCATTTCTCTCCAATCCACTTAATCTTGACCACTAAAAATATCCATTTGTTCTGCTTCACCATCTGGACAATCAATTTTCTGGTTCACGATCCACGACATGCTTCCTGAAAATCGGGACACAAACACTTTGCGTTACGACTGGGGAGACGGGCCAACTTGCCATCGACCACACCGCTTCGAAGGCGCTCTTCCAGGGACCACAGCGCGCCCATTAAGTGTGTCACTCCATGGGCACGGGCCGGCACCGAGGTCGGATAGGGGGCGATAACATCGGATCTTGTGGCAGTTCCAAAAAAGAATCCGTCCTTGGTGTGAGCTGCTTTTGTTGCTTCTTCATGTCTTCTTCATGTCTTCTTCATGTCTTTTGTTGCTTAAAACATGGTCACTGTCGATCGAAGTTCCTCTTCACTGTGAAAACGCTGAGATCTGTCCGACTTACGCTGAAGACTCAACACAGCGATGCAAGCGATGCAACATGTCGCATAGAAAGCGGGAAATACAATGGCTAACAGTTAACACAGACAATGGCTAATCGTCCACCGTCTCTTCTCTGTGTGAAAGCCTGCAAAATCAGATCTTCCGCACCATCCTTTTTCTGCAGAAGTGGCGAAGTGGCCAGCACCTGGCATCAAATGAAAGGCAAATGTTTAAACGGTCCAGCCATCTGTCGTGTTTTGTGGGCGAATCCAGCCATCCTCCCAACCAAAGTATGTACCGAATGGGTCGTCGCCTGGTTCGACGCAGGGGCAGCTGAAGGTGGAGCCTTTCAGATCAGAAACAAAATGGGTTTCAAGAAAAGCTGCAAGACGTACCAAGAGCATGAGACAGAAACTTGTATGGCTGGATCTTGAAGACAACAATGACCGCATTAAGCTTAAAATGTCGTTAAACTAGCCTAGAACAAAATACACATGCACATGACCGTTGCATGTCCAAGGACTGCATACAAGCAGGTCATGTATGCAGAAAATGGTTGAATCTTTATGGTACTACACCAAGATTGGACTGGAAAGGTTCGGCGCTCTGCCACTGGGAATATGCTGAAACATAGCTTGTCTTGAACAAAAAAAACGGTCGCCCAATCAAGCTTTCTTAAATGCCATTCTCGACAGAAGCGAATGAGAGCCAGCAACACATGCAACCCGGCCTTCTCAGCTCAGAAGAGCATAGATCTTTTCGAACGGCAGTCCGTTGCCTCGCCAGTCCCTGTGACCCATAGAAGTAGAGATCAGCCAGCAGCCGTCTGTGGCCGTTTCTCCAACCATTTCTCTACCACCAAGCGGTCCATTCTCTTTTCCTCGGAGCTCCTTCGGGGTCGATGAAGCCAACCCTCCGCGCGAGTGTCGCGGACGACACGCCGTGTCGTCAGCGTACCTTCCATTCGGCCTGGCGCCTGGCTCAGATGTGAGGCCCCAACCAAAGGTCCTCTGTCGAAATCCATGTGAATGGTTTTTCCCCCTGGTGTGGGGTCCAACTTCTCTTCAGATCGCGGCGCGCAATCTCTTCAACCTTCCGTTCGGTGTGTTAATCTAAACGTGAACATGCAAATCGGTAACAGGCGTTGTGCAAAAGGCCGTAGAAGGAACTGCTTGGAGGCATTGTGAGAGATGAATGGACAACAATGGACATGGCGACGGCCAGATTCTCACATAGCTATGCGTCACCAAAAAGAGTCGCTGTCAGCGCGAGATAGGTGGGCAAAAACAACGAAAACTCGTCAAACCCCTTGTGAGATTTCCACTGCCGTTCCTCACTATAGGCTTGCCAAAAGACTGCATGTGACCCTCAGCAAGTCCTGCGGTGGGAGATTTACGTTGAGTTGCCTTCAGGTTGCTCTCAAATTCGTCCTGTGCGTCACAATCCTGGATGGCGCACCCTGCAGTCAGCAGGTAGAATATCCTGACAGTTGTTTTGGGGAGCAGAAATGCCTGCCTTACAAGTTAAAGCCTCGAGAAGGCTTCTTGGTGCTCTTTGGGGCGTCTCTTTCTTCATAGCTTCTCAAACAGGTGTCTCTTCAAACAAAGAGTAGGGTCCTCAGCTACTCCTCAGCTGCCTCGTTGATGTGAAACAAAGGAAGGGGTGGACCTAGCGAGCAGCGAGACACGGGAAGCTTGCGAACTGCCACTCATTCGCAAAAACGTGCTGTTTTGCACAGGTTGGAAAAAGCACTGTTCAAAGGATGACACCAAAGCGCCAAACTGGAAGGTTACTTTGAGCTTAGCTGGCTTTGGTGGGAATAGCTTCAACCGCATTTAGTCGGTTGACACTCAAGGTCAAGTCAGGGATGAAAGCAAAAGAACCAAAGCAATGGTGTGCGCTGAAGAGAGCCCAAAGGACAGGGGAAGGGAGCCGCCAAACGGTGCTCTCACCCTCTTCCTCAGCCTCAGCTGTTTAACTTTAAGCCTCCACGTTATTTTGGGCTCACCCTCTAAAGAGGATAGCTAAATCTAAATTGCATCAGGTGAACTGGGGTCCCCTTTCCAATGAAATGTCCAATCATCTTACCTTACAAAATCAATCTTTGCCATCCCCACTCTCAAAGGCGAAGAAGACTCAATCTGAGCTCCAACAAGCTGGCTTTCGTGAATGGTCAGCACCGACCACAACACATCATGTGAGTCTGGGATTCCAAAGAGCACCGACACTTTGTGTGGGCAGTGGCACCAAGAAGCGAGTTCATTTTGTCTTTGCCTCTCTTGGGTCACGAAATCGAATACCCTCGGAGACACCAGTGGCTCCTTCGTCCTATCCAAAGGCTTGAATGTGCGCGAGGAGGACGACACTTGAACTTCGATTGTGCAACTGAGGTTTTCCTGCGCACCGATGCTTTGATAGGCTTACGGTGATGCTTTACAAGTGTTTCTTTCACGGAATGCCAAGTTGACACTTCATCTGGCACGTAGTGGCTCTAACGGTCCACAAATCCATTGCACGCACATCAAGCCACAATTTTGCGGTGTGTTTGCAGTCTTTTGTGGACCACATTGTTTTTTTTGTATTTATTGTGGGTAGTCCCCAAACGCTTTAGCTTAGAAAAGACCTTCAGACGGCATCTCACACTTTGCATGACAGAGGCACTGACAGGCCACTTCACTTCACCCTTCTTCAAACTGCTCACAGCCTGGCAGTTGCCGGGAGACTGAAACTTGGCATGAAAGAGAAACGTCAGAACGGCATAGTTAATGACATGCCGCATTTGTTCCAGAAGGAACCTGCCAAAACTTTACAAGGGTTTAGATGCGTTCGTGATGACCATGGTCATCACACGTTGGTGCTTGCAATTCAGCACCAAGGCAAGGCAATATTCAATATTCACATGTGTGAGCTGACCCAAGGAAAAGAATCTCTCAACAGGTTGAGACATGATGTAAACCCAAGTGTTATACTCGAACTCATCTCTAGAGCTAGGTTTGGACAAATCCAGTTTTTCCTTGCGATTGCCAAATAGGCAAAATTTTTGGGTGCAGCGAGTCCCCATCGAATTCGTCCAAATGCAAAAAAGTGAGGTTTAACTTTAGCTGTTCCCCCGCACAAATGAAGGTAGCACAAGTATGCGCCTCTTTTCAGACCTCACCTCAAATTTGTGCAGGTGTGGACGCAAGTGGCATGACACTGGCAGACACGGCGGTCGTAGGGATCGTGCGCCTTTTGGGCATCACTGTGCGTGACATCAAGCTACAAGAACCGCTGCACAGAGTGTCGAAGACGTCGAAAAGCACGTGCTTTTCGGCAAACTGTCAGCTGGCAGCGGATTCGCAGCACAGGAAGAGGCTTCAAACTTCCAAGACCTGCCCCAGTCACGCCGAGGCTCAACTCCTCCCCAACCGCGGCCCACGAGTCAGACCTGGTGCCGTCAGACCCCGTTGGCGCATCCGAGACGGAAGTCTTCGACGCCTCCAGGCTGGTGCCGGCAGTGTCAGGAGCGAAATCCAACGTCCAACCTCCAACCTCGCCTCGCCGCCAAGCGGATTTGGCCGTGGGGTTGTAGGCCAAAGCTGGTAGCTTCCACCGCAGCCCGGAAAGACCGTGAAAAAGGCCAGAAAGGCGAGCTGCAAAGCCTTTCTGCTTCACAAAACGCGATGGCAAGGATTCGGTCGAAGGTCAAAGGCGGTTTAATGAAAGCGCAAAATGCCGTTGACCAAGAGAACCTCTGCCAAGGTGACTTTAGTGGTTGAGAATACAGTTGGTGCTTGTCTATTTCTTACAAGAGAATTGTGATGAATCTACCTCCATTGTCACGCTCTTCAGCAAACCTCAACAAGGGTGGCAACACCTCTGATGCATCTTAGTCGACAACCTCTTGATCTGAAGTGTTCTGTGCTTCCTGTTTAAGCATATTCTTTGGTTCTAACATGTTCTAAGATGTTCTAAGAAACGCGTGACGATGGCCGAAGATCACTCTCACTCCCCACTTAGTGCAAGTTTGATGGAAAACACCCGCTTGGAAGAGAGAAGTCAAGCTAGTTCGCACCGTTTAATTTGTAGATGTTCGGGTCTTCCTGTGAAGTTTGGCTTCATTTTTACAAGTTTGTTCTGGTAATGTGAACGTGGATGTTGCTTAACTTTGCTCAGCTTCGTCAGCACTACGGTGCGGCGCCTTTTGCAGTTCAGCCTGGACTGTGCACAACACATTCTGGCGCAATGATGGCCCTTGTCTAACACATGATGATGGCCCATTCCTACCTTTTTGCAACAAACTTCAAAAGAGTTACCCAATAACCACAAACGTCTTTGAACAAGACTTGGTCTTGCATGCTCCAACATAGAGCCACACCCCAATAATAGATGCTCCAGCAAACAAGATCTGCCAGAGGAAGAGTCTAAGAAGGTAGAAAGCCTCAAGTGCAAGTAGGCATTGATGCTCCTTTCCCGGCTATCTCAGTTCTTTGAATCAAGAGGTTTTCCAACATTAATTCTTACCCACCTTGCCCTTGCTAGGTGGTGTCTTCACCCAAGAGGTTTTGCTACGACATGAATGTCCAACAACTTCATCTCTTCCTGCGTGTCAACTGAAAAAAGCGGCTTCGACACTTGCGCTTTACTCGAGACCTAATTCAACTCCGTCACCAAAGACAGAAACCCTGGCATGTCGACAAAAACACAAACACTGGCTCTGCGTAGCTGTTCTCAAACATCCAAAAGCCAAAGAGTTTGGGGAGTTCTTCTGAATGCTACAAAGTGGTTAATGACGAAAATCAGGAAAACAGAGTCTTCCACGCTGGCTCCTGCCAAGCCACCTAAACTTCCGAATGCAAGCCAGTAAACACCGTC